TTATTAGCATTTCCTCATTTATATATATATTGATGTTGTATTCCCATACATATTTATAGATAATAAAATTTGCTAAGTAGCGTTGAACACGGAGTGAAGATGTCAGTTGCTGGGAAAAAACAAAGTCAGGCAGTTTTGTTGTCTGTCAGGTGACCATCTAGTGATGAAGGTATATCAGTGGAGAGTTGAAAACTTTGATCTGACCAACAAACTCATCAGGAGCAACAGATTGAATTGCTTGGCAGTTCATGCAATAGTTGTTGAAACGTCAGAAAGTGTCTGGCCAGTGAACTGACTTTGCAATCTGTAGCTCTACTATGCAAAAAATAATAATAATTTTAAAATAAAAAATCCCTCTCATATAACTCCTAGATGTACATAACAATAAAAATCCCAATGCAACAGGTGCCAGCAGTCAGTATGCCTCCTCATGTCCATGTTCTCAGTTCACATGAATTTCCATCACCACATGTCTTGCAGAAGTTACACAAGCTGCATCCCGCGCTTTAGCTCAAATTAAATCAAAATCCATAAGCAGACAGAAAGTTTAGAAAGCCCATGTGAAGACCTGTGGAGATATGGTAGAAAGCCTCCGAGCCGCGCTTCAACGCCCCGAGTCCTGATGTAATGTCCTGCAACGTCTCCCCCCCGCCCCCGTATGGAGCAACACAATCACAAGTCTTTCTTCCTGACTTTCCAAACTTTTTCCTCAAGTCTTTATTATTATCTTCCAATCATATTCCACGGCATGTCAGCGCAGCCCGAAAAGCCTCGCCGATGTTGTCCGTCATTAATGGTAAGTCATGCACCTGTCTCTCCGGGCAAGGGCTTATTCGCCGTGTGACATTGTCTATCACTCTGTCATGTTCCCTGTCTTACACCCTCACGTCAGCGCCTTGCCTCTGGTCCGGCTCCGGCGCTTCGAAAAGGGGGAGCACAGCTGCACAGACTCGCATTTAATCTGTTCCACCCGCTGACGTCGTCACCTGGCAGCATGTCGTTCCTTCCAAAATGACTCAGACCAATTAGGAGGAAATTAGTCCTGATGGTTTTGAGAATTTAAAAAATCCTTGTCATGATGCTAAAAATTTAAATCTTTAATACAACAAGGCATCAGTATAACTTTTTATTACTTTGTTCAATTTCATGGCATTTAAAAACAATTAATAACCTTTGACCTTTCTTAGATTTTAAATGTGTTTTCACCCATTAACCCTCAGATTTTAATCATTATTGGCCCAACATTTAAGTTTATATGTATGTAAGAGCAGGACAATAATGTTTTTATTGACATTTTCCTTTTGAAAGACACCATCAGTGCAAACTGTTGTGCTTTTTTAATTTAGGATTGAAGACACCAGTCGACAAAATGTGAATGCCGATATCGATTAACATTAATCTAAATTATTTTCATGCCAGCGTTTATCAGCGCTCAGCCTGAGACAGCTATTATTTCTCAGGAGACGGGAATTCAATTCTAGTTTGATTCATGCAAATTTATATAAATAGAAAATGATGTCCAAAGTAAAAGACTGAGCAGAATGAGCAGAAAATGAAGAAAAAAAAATTCTCCAATTTCTTCACAGTGGAAGAAACAATCCCCTTTACTTTATTAACAGAATCTAATAAACTCTGCAGCATTGTGTGTAGTAGTAAAACAAAAAAGTCTATCTGTGCTCAGATAAGATTAATAGAAGAGAGCAGTCAGGGATGGAGCAGAGAGCCGACACAGATTTCCAGGGTGAAAGCGAGCAGATTTCCAAAATAGTCCCTGTAGATGCAGCTATTTATGTGGAGAAATGAACCATTACTGTATCTAATTTGTGGCAAATTGATCCTGGAGACTCAGGCTGTCATCCATCCTCCTGCTTGTGTGTTTAGACTCCGATTTATACTTTGTCAGAGGGGAATAGAGCTGGGAGGACAAATGTGTCAGCTCGCTGCCTCTCTGAGGCCCCTGTCACAGAAGAGCTATGATGGTGAAGAAGCCAGCCGAGGAAGGATTCACTCATGTTTCTGGCATCAGAGAGCTCCGCGGGCGGACATCACCGAGCAAGTCAACCTTCAGGTGCAGTTGGGGTGTAATAAAGTGAAGGAGGACACAACTTCTACCTCGTCGGATTTACAGAAAAAGAGTATTGTTTGACTAATTAATGAATAAAAGAAAATATACTAGAAGAAAACCTCATTTTATTCTATAAATAACAGCAAAACACACACAGGGCAGAACAGACCAGACAATCACAACACATGTCGCTAACAATTCAGATCGTTACTCGCGTCAAGCCGAACAGGTCGTCTAAATTTGCAGCCTCTGACAGCAGGAAGGATTGTGATTAATGCTCTGTGAGTTTCCAGGGATTACGGGGGGTCATCCACCTGGTTATCCCGCTGATGATGTGTGTACATAATGCAATTTTACGCCTCTAGAGTTGCAGAATAAGCGATATATGTGCAGACAGGTGACAAATTGCGGTAAAAATCACGAGTGAGGGGAAAAACATAATGAATGCAGTTGATGGGGATAAAATCGACGCTGGAACGTTGGACGGCGCTTCCTGCCACCGTCACCCAAGCATCAAATAGAGGAATGATAGCTGGAAGGATGCTGTTTGTCCTTCCAGTGGAGTGTATTTAGAGGTCATAAGTGTAGTGGATGGTGATTTAAGGATGTTTGTTTGTGAGATTTTTTATATATATATGCTGAAGGTCACATTGAAAGCAAAACAAAAGGGAATAAAACTGAATAAGATGCAGAAAACGAGGAGGATGGAGAATCCAGTAGAGTTCAGCCAATTAGATGGCACACATCTGTGGAGCCTCGGCTGCTACAGAGTTGTAAATCCACCCATCCTCCATTCAGAAACTCGCACAGAAAACAAAACAGACCTGGCAGAGAAGCAGGTTTTTTTTTTTAATCCTCCCTTCAGTTCATGGGCCTTTGGTGGGTATCTCTACCCTTGCATGCAGGTATGGAGAGTGCAGCGTGGATTAATTTTGAATCACTGATTAAAACATTAGTGTAAAGTAGAAAGAGAAATTTTTAAAAGATGCCCGAGGCTGAATTAATGTTTAATGGAGGCACTTATTAGACCTGCAAAGTCCCACAAATTTATAAATAACTACTGAACGAAGACGCCTCCTGTAGAGCTACAACTGAAAGCTCCGTTGTCACAACTCCACCAGGACTCCCTCATAAGGGACCATCGCTGCTGTCGTCTCTCACTGCAGCTACAGTTAACGTAAAAGTCACACCCACAGGTTTAGAGTCAGAGGTTAAACAGCAGCTGTTATCAATGGGATAGTCTTGATATGACATTTTTTAATGGCTAACTGAAAGTTTTGTGTCTCCGTTCGTGAACCGACATTGCATTATCCCCATCTGCTGGTGGAAAACAGATGATGCAAGCGTCGTGTAATACTGTACATCAGATGACACACCATTCACAGTACAGTAGGATGATGTCACAGGTTGTGAGGGAGTATATTTACTGCACTTAAGTATGACTTTGAGATGCTCAGACTTATTTCAAATGCAAATATTGTCTACATCGATCTGACAGATACAGTTACTGGTCATTTTTCAGATTGTTCGTAATTGCATAGTATTATTTATTTTTTAAATGATGAAAATAAAATAGTTTGTGATGAAGCCATTTTAGTTTATGTAACATTTGGTCAGCCATTAAAAGAATAAAGTTCCATTTTTTCCTCTGATTTTCAGACATAAAACTGCAAATACCTCAAAGAAGTTGTTTTCACTGTCTAGAACTCAGTTGTGGATAGAAATGTGTTTGTCATTTTAAACTGCCCAACAAGAAAGAAAACTGGCAAAATTAGCCACAACAACAACAACAAAAACAACCGTGAGAACAACCAACAACAATAGTAACCATAACAAGAATGAAACAAGTGAAAACAAACAAAAACCACAACAACAACAACAACGAAGACCACAACAGCTAAAACAACCGTTAGTTACTTAGTTTACCTATGAAGCTATAATGTCCCATTTTAAGATGCAGAGCTCAAAAAGTTCAAAAGTTGGTTTATTGCCAACCCACATTCACAAAAAGATGTGAGATCAGTGCCGGTTCACTGACAACAAGATGGCAGAGTGCAGAATAAAGTGCTTCAATTTATCTGCTGAAAATTCCTGTTTTTGTTTTTCTTTGTTTATATATATATATATATATTGCAATATATATCACAGGGTTAGAAGAAATCACAATGTCAGTCTTCTCCAACATTGTGCAGCCCTTATGACAACAAACAACAACAACGAAAACCACAACAACTAAAACAACTGTAACAACAAACAACAACAACTGAAATAACTGATAATGACCAACAACAACAACTATTTCTATTTTCTAACACCTTTGTTAACTTGATATTATTTTTTTTTTAAAGTGCTTTAGAATAAATAAATTAATAAAAAACAAACAGGACAAAGAAAATTCTCCTAATTTAAATCCAATGCAATCAGCGAGTAGAATAAAAATGTTCAAAAAATAAAAATAAAAAATGTAACACGAGGAAACAAACCTAAGAACCAAAACCAATTAACAGTCAATTTATTAAAAAAAATAAATAAAAGTAGTCTTTAAATGCATCAGCAATTATAATCCACTGAGGCTCTGAGAGGGGTCATTCTAATGATAATGAGCAATTTAAGGTTGTATTACTTTTTTTTTTTAATGGCATTTTGTTGCTGAATTATATTATTAATGAATAAGTTGAAACAGCATTTAATTATGTATTTTCTTGATTCAGCTTTATTCAGTTATTTCGCCATTTTAAAAAAAATCAGATAACTAGATGCATGTATATAAGATAGACAGATAAATAAACAATAGATACTTAGATGAAAGATAAATGACAGATGAAGCGTCTGTGTGGGCCTCACGAAGCGGCTTAAAGGGGAGGAGTTTACTGCGCAGTTTGGAGAGTGGCTGACAGACAAACTCGTTGGCATGGCGGTGGAGTGGGCATCTCTGTGCGTGGACAAGTTCTAGATGGAAATTGGACGCGCGACGAGTGAAACGAGACACCGATCGACAACTTTCTCAAAGTCATGCGTCTGTTACGCGTCTGTCTGTTCTGCGCGCTGCTTTTACGCACGGATGGGAAAACGATCGGAGAGTTGTCCGGCGCCGCGGGACGCCTCCTGCATGTCGATGACGGGAACTTTTCAAGGCAGGATCACATGAAACAAGAGCCCTTTCAGGAGCAACAACAAGTGCTCGAAGCCTTGCCAGGTTTGTATAAACTTGGGTGAAAGTTTAAAGTAGTCACCAGTTATTTTTTTTCCTTTTTAATTATTTTAGTCGCTTGATGTTTTGGCAATAAGCTTGAGACATTTCTTTCTATTTCTGCTCCATCAACCATCATAAAGAGCTGTTCAGATTATATTAGATGTCCTTATTCCTGACCATCTGCATGAGGATTTGCTCGCAAATCTACTGATCTGTTCCTGAGTAATAAGTGATGTGGGTGCTCGCTGCTGCTGTCACCTCATGAGTAACGGTTTCTCCATCTGTTCCTTTTTGCACCACCACAAGCAGCAACAGGCAGCAAGTTGTCATTTTGTGTGCACGTTATGTGCAATATTATGACAATATATTAACATTTTAAAGGGGCTGTGTGAGGAAAAAAAAAGAAAGTGTGTTGAACATATGTGTTCAAGAAGCAGGCCTTTAGCATCACTCACCCTGCTGTATGATTTCATGCACATCATCTGTTTACGCTGCTTTTAACTTGTTCAATTTGTCTCCTGCTGGCTGTTTTAATTCATATTTGAAAAAAATGCAAGTGAAAAACATGCTCTCCTTCCATCTGTGAAGCAGGCCTGTCCTCCTCAGCGCTTCTCATGACAGTGTGTGTTTTTTTTGCTTACAGCAGAGCGCCGGCGAGGAGCTCAAAGGGGGGATTTGTGACCCCGTGTTCACTTATCAACTGATTCATGACTAATTCATGCTGATGTAGGAGTGCATTACCATCCGTCGCCACGTGATCCCTCAGCAGCCTGAGAAATGTCCTCAAGCATGCTGTTGTCTCTGACGTCCCACCCTCCCCCGTCCTCCTGCTGGCTCCCTGTCCCTTCGGTTCACAGTCAAGGGAATCACTGCCCACTTTCTATTTGTACTGAATAATAATAAAAACACTGACATACAGATTAAATCCAGAAAAACAGATGGTCACTTCTACTCTGACATCTTCATTGTTGTGCCGTCCACAATAAGCAGACGATTTAGGGGTTTAATCATTTGGCTGCAGGGAAGATTATTTGACAAGGAGGGGGGGGTAGTTAATAGGACATCAGCCCCACCCCAGCTCCACCCAAAAGCATCTTTTGTCTCAATTTGATATTGCTGACTCGTGCTTGAGGAGAGTTTGGCCCACATATCAAAGGCTGTTATTTTCCCTCCATCGCTGGAATGTATGGCCTAATTCCAGCACACATAGGGTGGAGGGGAGGGTCACAACAGATAAGTCCCTGTTGGACCATCTGTTTGTGCCACAAAACTGACCAGTCAACATGTTTGTGTTCCCTCCTTGGCGTCGTGAATGTCATCATCTTTGGTAAAAAAAAAAAACAAACAATGCCACGCTGCTGCCCGATATGTCAGCAGAAGCAAATGTCAGCGCTTTTAGCCGCACACGCTGTGTTTTCAAAAATTATAACGTGCCACTCTAATATCTGCCGTCTTCAAGAAGCTTCATAGTTTGATATTTGATCACATGGTTTTAAAAAAAAGATCATAATGCGCACATGAAAACTCTTCAGCTAAGTGGAAATGCATCCTATTTAACGGACAGCGGCGCCATTATGTGCCCGATAATAACAGCATTCAAGGCACATCACGCACACAACATGGGATCTATTTCTCATCTGCACTCTGTGGCCTCAGACGGCCCATTTCAATCCACTTCATAAACCTCTTTGTGCCGTGGTTCAGTTTGCCAAATGGAGAGATTATAGTAATCTGGCACGGAACACCTCCACTTCAGATTTAGTGACCCCCCCTTCTGTTATGTTTGGCCACGAAGGCGGGATGCACATGAAGCGGAGGGCTGCCTCTCTCAAAACAAGCATCTTCGTGTCCATCTGCGCCGGTGTAAAGCATCTCAGCGGGTTGGCACCGAAACAGCAGAAATGTACACGTTTGTTTCGCATTGTGTCTGAAAATGGAAGCACTCCGGGCATTTGTCTGCCTCTGATCAAAGGGAATTGTTAGGGGGCGATGATATGGGCTGATCTGGTTATCTGGCTCTGGCACTTGCTGAAATATTGTGGTAGCAGAGAGCCCGGCTTCATGAGTTTTCAGTAAACCTTTGGCGGATCTTTTAGCAGGAGGATTATGAGCAATCAGAGCAGCAGCAATTTCAGCCACTGCTACTGTCAGTGCTGTTTTCTCACTATTACAGAAAGATGCTTACGGCATTATGACTGGTGGGATTGCCGCTATAGCAGCACTGCAGCACTTAGCCACAAATAAAAAGTGTAATAAGGACCTTTTCATGGCCCTCCCAGCACAAAATAACTATAGAGTTGATGATGAGCCAGCTGCTGAGATTTATGGCTCCCCAAACTCACTTTCTAGCTCGAAGCAGCAGTGTTCAGCTGACAGTATTTATACCAGGGCAGTAGGTGAAGAAGGATGCTGCCCAGAGCTGGCAGAGTTCTGCAGCTGCACACAGTAAGCCTCTTGGTGTAGACTCTTTGAAGTATTGTTCAGTGTCTTCATCAGTGGTTGTTATCAGGCGCTTGCACTCAGATTTTCACAGCTGGTCCGTGCAATCACACGTTTGTTTTTTTCAGCAGAAATGTTCCGATCTAACCTCATTCTATATGAGCAACCTTCACAGAAAGATAGAGTCAAACATTTTTACTCTGTCGACTGCTGCTGTTTGGAACTTCCCAAATCAAAGCTGCATTAATTGGCTTTTGGCCACTCGGCTGAATAAGCTGTAAATAGAACACTGACATGCTGTCGCCCCGGAAATCTGTTATGCAAAACACAGTTGCCTATTTCCATATTCAACATTAGCATTCACTGGGGGCCGCCTAACTAATACAACTCCAGTACGTCCCTCCGACTCCTAAGGGAAATATCTGGCTCTTTAGCAGCTAAATGCTTATTTAAGTTCACCATCCGGTAGCTAACTTTGTCTGCTTTGTCACAGCTTTTTCTGCCACACAGAGCCACCTGCTGTGGCTAAAAACAGCATACATGCAAACACAATGAGCTACAGGAGACTATAGAGGACCTTTCACGTCATAATTTATATTTCAATCCATTGCCAACATTGATTAGTGCAGCTTTAAAACATTGCCTCCACCACGTGGTCATTGATTCTTGGGGACATATGCAGTCTACATAACCACCACTAACTCACACAGACCAGCAATGATGGATGACTGAGCAGGTTTTCGTTGTTATGCAACACTTTTAACTCTCAGATTGAAAGTCTTGTTGCCTTGACCTTATTATTGGGGGCTCAGCGTGAAAGTGGCTAATTGGGTTAGGTGTCACATTATCATCGTTACGCCCTAAATGAGATTCTGAAGACATGTAATGATTAGAGCTCCCTCGTGGGAATCATATTATTGGAAATATGTGCGGTACCTAGCTGCACGCCTGCCTGCTGATGGAGCAAAACGTCGTCCTGACTGTATACTTTGCTAATTGCCCAATTTTTCCATACACATTTGTATCCTCGTCTTTACAATCTGCTATAATTAAGTGAGCGATGTCCTCGAGGGATTCTACATATTAGTTCTCCTGCCGTGTTGTCAATAAGGTCCCGTTGAGGTTAATTGGAACTGCAACCGCGTCTGTGCTGTTTACATATTAGAGCACATGGTCATGCTGCATAAAAAGGTGGACAAAATAACAGGAACACCTTACGATACCTTCATGAAACCCAATCTGGAGCTTGAAATATTGATGGAGCTTAACGTTTTACATCATTTACACATGCGATCGTCATTTTTCTTCTTCGCCACATTCCCATCCAAGCAACCTTTGTTTTTTTTCCCCCCTCAGGTTCTGCCTTCGATCTGAAGGTGCAGGTGACCGACGTGCTGAGTCGTCAGTACCTGAGTGAGGCCGCGGTGGACGTCTACATCAACTACACCAGGACCAACAGCGCTGTCACCGGAGAGGACGGTGCTGCGCTGCTTCATGTACCTTACCACTCCGGGCTGCCTCTCACAGTCGTGGCCAGCAAGGATGGCTACATTAGCACGCTGCTGCCTTGTACAACCAACAGAATGCCAAGTGAGTCAGCCGGTTGTGTGTGTGTGGACTTTATGCGGACACTAAGAAAGGCGGCATCCATTTTTATTTATCTTCAGCTGTCATGATCTTGAAAATCAGCAAGTGCATTCAGACTTTTCTTTAAGCTTAAGATGGCTCAGATGCATTTTATTTGCATTGAGTGGCAACAGTGCTCCACCTCGTTCTCATGGCTTCTTTCTGTATACAAAATGTGCTGCTCCATAGGTTCCCTCACTCAATGACAATATTTAACTCTCCGAGGAATCCCTGTGTAACTATCCCATGTTTATGGGCTGTAGGCACTTCACAGGACACTCCTGATAAAGTCACGTATCAAAGCGATTACAGAAAATACTCACATCCACATACAAACTTTCTAGATGTCAGTACCAGGTCACACGTGGCTCCACCTTACAACAACTTGGCACCTCATTAGGTGGCAGCACACAAGAAAATCTATGTGGGATCATTTTCTAACCCACATCTGGAGCGTGCATCTCTATTGCTCGTCTGCCATCTACAGTGCTATACATTTCTTTCTGAGAGCGATGACAGCACTGAAGTGGATCCTCAATCCTCAGCTATTGTTGCAGAGATTGTCAGATAGGCCCCTTCCAGAGAAGTGAATTCCCCCACTGCTGTCTGTGGAGAATGCTGGAAACAGAATACAACACTGCCATCTAGTGGGAAAACAGTAAAACATGGACTACTACAGCTAATTTGACATCTTTTTGTAGTCTTTTCATCAGTGACGATGACGCTACATGGTCGGAATCAGGGGAACGTCTGGCTCTTTGACGACTCGGTCGTGATCACTGGCAGAACATCTGGTACTGTATCTGCTGTTAAAGTCGCACTTTTCTTTCTTTCTTTGTTGCTCTCTGTATCCCTCCTTTATCATCTGCTAATCTGCTAATCCTGTTTTCTTCCACTTGTAGATTCTTCATCCCAGCCCACCGTCAGGTTTCCTAAGAGCCTTCTGAACGTGACCCTCAGCAGCAACAGCACCTCCGTTACAGCCTTCCTCACTGTTCCCAAAGTGACGTCAGAGCCGGACGGCTTCTTCAACACTCTGGGCGTCATGAGCAGTAAATCAGGTAGATGTGTTTACGTCGTTATGGCATGGCGCTGAGTCCTGCCTGCGAAGTCATTCATTTTAAATCATTGCGCCGTTCTGACACGGCGAGCAGGTCGGCTTTTTTTTTTCTAGAAAGTGGACTCGCAGCACCATGTGCATATATATCTCCTCATTGTTTGCTCCACTCTTCTTCTTAATTCCTATCATCAGTCATGTTTTATTGCTCGTGCAGTGGTGTAGGGTTGAATATTTTGTCTGGGGTGCCATCTGATGGTTGTAATAACAGAACACGCTAAACTGGACAGAATGCAAATGGAGGAGCTCAAAGCTGCTCAGAGGCTTTACCCATTTTTTTTTTTTTTTTACATCTCAAACAAAATGCCATCAATATAATTTGAGTCCTGCAACAATCATTTATAAATTCTACAAAGATTGACTGTAAAAAAAGCATATTATCCACATGATCCAAGCAGCACTCAAAGCTGTCAAACGTGTAGCAATAGTGTTGTTAAGGTCAAGACATTTTTTAATTTTTTAAATATAATTCAAGGAAAGACAAAAAAAAAAAAAGGTTGAACTGATTATACTGAGGCCACACATTTCTCTGTGCTTCTTAAGGCTATGTCAGTGTGGAGTTAAGCCCTGTGGCGGCTGTCAGTGTGCAGCTCTTCTCTGGAGACACGGAGTTACATGTGAGTGGGCCCGTACAGATCAGCCTCGGTGTTCCTGACAGCTGTGGGCTTCAGACGTCAAACGTTGTCCCTGCCTGGTTCTTTAACCGGACCACCGGTGAGTAGACATCATTACCACATGCGCGGTAACATCCCACCTAATGTGGAAAATCATGAACCTAATAGTAGGAAAAATGATACTAATTTACTGTGGAGCTAGTTTTATAACAATAATATGAAGACTGAAACGTCCAGCTCGTGGGTCATTTCTGTTTATTTCAGTCTAACACGATATCCAGCTTATATTAATGATGTAATTAAAAGACAGGCTGTTTAAAAATCACTGAAGATGTGTGACTTGATGTTATATCTGCAGACTTTAACCTAAATGTAGAGCTCCTGGACAATCACTTCTAATGTTTTCTCAGTGTCAGGAACTCGTCTCAGTTAGATGCATCTTTGCAAGTCTCTCTGTTCAGACTAGATAAGATGGCCAGCTTTACTTTGTTCTTCATGTATCAGCTGACTCTGTTAACAGAGCTAAGACTAAAAATCCACTAAATAATCAGTGAATTGTAGATTCATTAATTACACGCTGTAGGAAATATTTAAGTCTCTCCAATTAGGCAAGCCCAGTGCCACTGTGAAGTCCAACTGACTTTAAATCTGCTTGACTGCTTACTCAGGGAGGCCACTAATTTTAGGGTTTGTTTAGCTTTTTCTCAACCCGACAGGCACTGTCTTCTTAGAAAAGTGTTCAGGCAGACAAGTTATTGGCTGCGTTATAGACGGCAGCCAAGCAGAAACCTGTCTTGTGCATGAAGGATTTTGAGCCATCAGGAATTCAGCATTATTAAACGTCTTTCTATAACATTTCAGAAGTTTGGGGATATTCCACTTTAGGGGAGCCTGCACAGTTTTCTCCATGCCTCTAGATATGTTGTCCACTATGGACAAAACTGAGCATGTAGTACCTGTTCTAGAGCCACTGTATGTCACGGAGTTCAATTGTATTGGTTACACCGTAGTTCTTTTTTCTTACCATATTAAACAACTAGAGAGCCCTCAGTAGAGGGACGTAGTTGCCCAGTGTATGCATGACCTTGACCTTTGTCTCAAGGTCATATTTTGCATCAGCAGTTTATAGGCCTCTAATGTCTTCCTACGTTAGCGTCTTCCTCTTCTTATTTTTTTTTGTTTTTTTTTCGTCCTGCGGTGTTTTTTTTGGGTGCTGCGTTTTCCGTCTTTTGTGGTGGTCACTGATTGTTTTGTTGCCCCCATCTTCTCATTCTTGGGAGGGGGGACCCTGCTGTGGTGTTTTGTGTTTTTTGTTGTTCCTACTCTTCTTTTGTGCTGTTTTGTGTCCAGAGACAAAAAAAACACCACACACACACACAGGGGCGCTTTTTTCCTCTCTGTGGGCCTCTATATATGTTTTTACAGTTATAGCGTTATAGTAGTCCCTCCCTTTGAAACTGTTAGCCCTTCTTGTATTTACGAACAGAGTGAGAGACCTCCCACATCACATTTAAAAACCAAAAGTACAGTTCGACCATTTGGCCACAACCCCAACAAATCAAAGTATTGAAAAACCATGTTATTTGTGTGTTTGTTTTCCCGAGGTGGATGGATGAGAAAAGGACTGGGACAGGTAACGTCAGTGGAAGGAAGGCTCGTGTGGACATTCACAGCTCCTCACCTCGGCTACTGGATTGCAGCACCTTTGTCATCTACCAGAGGCAAGTGTTCACCATAATAATGTGAAAATGTTGTGTACAGAAAACAGTGTTTTTCTCTGTAGGGCCTTGTTTTGCCTGTCAAACAGCAACACTGTGACACGATGGTTATCAGTAAAATACACTGAATAATGAATGACAAGGATTTAGTTTGTGGTTGCTGTAAATTTTGCGTATATTGGAATTGTTGTAAGTTTTTCTCACCTTGGATCAGTGACTATAAAATGGGAAAATAATTGTAATCTAACTTCCAGTATTCATTTAAATGTACTTACATTAATAAGAAACAGCAAAAAGAGGGGGGAAAAGTTGTTTTTTTGTTTTTTTTTACATACAGTATTTTTCTTTGTATGCTTCATTAAACATTTGATTTTATTTTCAAAACAATCTTGTAGGTTTCTTTGGACTTGCCGTCCCCATGGACTTCATCTTACGCCATTCGTTTTTCCTGATGGTTCTCTCAGGAGGATTGCTTCTTATTGTCATCTGTCTTCTGCTTGGATTCATTTGTTATTGCAGGTAACTTTTTTTTCTTAATCTCGTACTAGTCAATATATACAATAAGTTACACGTGATCTTGACACTATTGCTCAAACCGTCATCCCAAATTCTTCATTTTTAACTGTCACTTTAAAGGGATACTCCACTAAAAATCTATTCCGTATGAGAAACTCATGCTAATATTCATACAAAAAACTCAAAGTCAGTTAAATGTACTGCATGATTACAAAACAAACATATTATTTGTCCAAATGATTGTGCTGCTAATGTTTTGTCTTGTCTGTAGGAGTGCGCCCAGTGAGAAGAAAGCAATGAAGATCCTCACAGTGTCAAAAAAAGACCAAACCACCTCCACGTGCGATGATGAAGCATTTGGAGCATCTTCAAGGCGTGGCTTTCACCCACAGGACGGACCCAACCAACCATTCACAGAGAATGGGGATAACCAGCACAACTCCTCTTTCATTTCTATGCACAGCAACAACATAATAGCCAACCCCAATGTGGCCATTACGCTGGAGTGTAACGAACTGGAGCTCAACACTGACCTGAATGATCTGACGTGCTCGCACAAGACTTCGGATCAAATCCGACTTCCAGCATCTCTCAC